CCACCTAACTTTGGCCGTAACTTTGACGATAACCGGTGCTTTTTGTGTGGATTTTGACAGATTTTTGACGTTTGTCAAAGTTAAAGTAAGATGGTGCAACCCAGCCTTAGTGTTTTAAAAGACTACAAGAATGGGAGAGTGAAGAACCTCCATGCACTAGAGTAAGGCGGTTATCACACTGCGCCGCGCTCTGCCGCGGAGCGCGGGGCGACAGATTTAATCATTGTATGCAAGTACCTCAGTTTGTATAGAAAACACGCGCGGCACTTCACACTGACAACGCGTCCTAATCACGCGCTTCGCGGCGGAGCGCGACGCAGTGTGATAACCGCCTAAACTGACTAATGAGCGGCGGCGGATGGCATAGAGTTTTGAATTGAGAATGCTGTCAAAAACAAATGACTGTCTTGTTTTGTTTTATTTTTAAAATACTTCTTGTGGTGCCAGAAACAAATGACTATTCCAATTTTAGAAAACTAGAATTTCTTATCTAAAACAAATGACTGTTTAATAATTTGTTTTAATTTTAAAAGAAGTTTATTTTGGCCCTGAGCCTGTGTTTGAAACCATTAATTTTTGTACTTGATGGTTATTTTACTATGATGAATACCGCCACTATGAAAATTATAAAAGATACTGCGTAAGTCTTATAGACACCAAGGTTATGGTAGAGCGGGAATATTTTGAAGAGAGTCCCTATTCTTTTGCAATTAGTAAAATAAGCGCAAAAAATACCTGCTAAGTTTTTTTTGGTTTATTTGCTAAACTATGCCTTGACGAAATTTTATCTAGTGATATAATTAGACGTATAGCACATGAGCTTAAAAAATTGTTGAAACAGAATCAACAGAAGTGCTTAAAGCTTATATCCTTGTTCATAGCTCTATTTCGTCTGTCACGTTTTCTTTAACTTTTTGATAAAACCAAAGTTTCTGATCAATCTTCTGGTGTATTATTTCATCAGTTTAGCTTATGCTTAGTTGTATTCTCATGCCTTGCACCACAGTACCATAGTTGCACGTTTTATCCCGCTAGCCACACGACGGGCAAACAGCGCTAACTATCCACTCACGCGCACGTTACACCCGCCTCGGAAAATGGACGCCTATACGTACAGTCGCATCAATTATGGAACCTTATGTTATTGAAATAGACGCTACATTGCAAGAAATGTCGAGATGGACCAACTGTATGAAGAATGGGAGAAAACGAAATAATAACGAGTATTTTTCTGATTCTGATTTCTTTTTCTAAAAATATGAAGCCTGTTTACGAAATCAACCGTCAAAATTTCATCCTTGAGCCGTTTTCGTAGTTTAGGTCGAGAGCAATAAGAAGTCGTGCGTTTATGTAGCAAATAAAGATGCCAGGGTGCTTACTTATACTGAAAACAGAATAAAAAAATATTTTGATACGTCATACGACTCGTTTTTGATCAAGTCTTAGAAGATAATAATTTGTTTCTACTACTTAAATTCAAGTCGTTAAGTTATCTAAAATTGTCTTTCTGAGCAATTTTCTAGATTTTCTTATCATAGAAGCTTCTGCAAAGTATAATGAACGTCGAAGATACCAGTAAAAGTCGTCCTCAAGTTTGGAGTGACCAAGGGAAAATCCTATCCTACTACTAATATTATTAAAATAACACTAGAAAACTACTGAACGGATTGTGGTGATAACAGTTACTATACACAGTTACATAGTTACTATGAATATGAACATTATTACTTATCTATAATAATGTTTGAAAAACTGAATCTCACGCGAGCGAATGCTGGACAAAAGGCAGTTTTTATAGATTTCAGTTATTTTTTAAAATACCTTCAGACAAAACCAGGGCGGTTGAGTAATGTGCCGGGATTACAGCAGATCGCGCGTCATCTGTCCTTTATTGATTCCCGGGCTGATTCCCGGGATCAGTGACGTCCCGAGGGACGGTAATGCACTGCGGGATTACGCGGTTAAGATTGGCGGTTTATTTAATTTTGTAGACGAAAATGCTGGTAGGACTTTTGACACATTATTGACACTGAGTTTCTCTCAGCACTGGCCCTTTTATTGTCCCAAGCAGTGGTAGAATAAAGGATTAAAGTGATACTGGAACAAGTAAAAGCGTAGGAATTCGCTGCCTGCTCTCTTTCCCGAACTCTATAACCCGGGCCTCTTCAAGGTGAAAGCGAAGAGGTGATTACTGGGCATGTAGGTATATACCACCACCTTATACTGTATCTCACTTAGCAAGGTGTGATTGCGGTCAAATACGATTGACTAGTGTAGTGTGGACCGACGATCTGTGAAGGTCGCGGGAAGTAGCTGGATGCGGGCAGCATAGCACCGGTCGTTGTGGAATTGCTTGGGGAAGGCCTTTGTCCAGCAATGGACGTCATTTGGCTGAAACAAACGAACGATTGGCGAATAAATAAACCTCAGGAAGATTCCTCTCTGCTTATAATTTTACTGTCAAAACTCTTACGAAACTTTGACATCTATTTCCGCACTTCACAGTTCACACTTCTTGTTACAATTTAACATGTTCATTTGTTTCTCCTAATAATGTTTGTAAAAGAAAAAGCCAAAAGTAAAACAAACGAACAACGCTGACAAACCATAAATAATGGAGTTTTGTCTCTGACACTTGCCAAATGAGTATGGCCGTCTCGCTCGCTGGTACTGTCTCTCTCGCGCGCAGTGCTGAATTTTTTATGTTGCTGTCACTTTCGTACAAGGGTGGCATAATGCGTTTTGTCTGTTTTTCTTCGGTAGCAATGTTTATTTTTGAATGTACAGGAATATGGTTTTAACTTTGTCGTGGCGTGTAATTTTAACGTTGAGATTGGTATGTTGGGGTACTAGGTAGGTATGTTTGTGCTATTTCAATAATTCATAATCATTTTCTGACATTTGCATGACATTCAATTAATAATGATACTACTTTTTAATATTAAAAACATAACCGTATTTTTTGTAATATTTGCACATCGTATGTACGATAGAATATGTTGGAAACTTCTCTTTTTAAAACCATTTGTAACCGTATTCTGGCAAATAAATGATTTATTATTATTATTATTATTATTAGGCATTTGGATTGGGAAATTGCTGGAAATTTCTTACAGCTGTCAGATTAGACTTATTTATCTACTAATAGTATAATGCTGAAGAGTTTGTGTCTGTTTGGTTGAACGCGCTAATTTCAGGAACTAGGTAGGTTAGGTTAGGTTAGGTTAGGAAAAAACATTTTTATTTTTCCATTTATCGAGGTAAGCTTTAATCTATATTACCTACATCAATTAAGTAATTTTAAACTTTCGCGTTGCTTATTTGAATTAATTTAAACAGGTTTTAACGCGATACGCTGAGAGGTAATATTGAAATACCTATTACCTGTATTTGCCTGACGTTTCGACCTGGTTGCACCGGCCGTGGTCACAGGCTTGATCACACTTAAGCTTGAGCAGCAATGAACAATTTTGTAAAAACGGGAAACATTGTTTAAACTATTTTCACGAAGTCGCGGTCACAGCTAGCTAGTTACTATTAGTTGCAAATCCCTCCAGCTAACCTAAATAATATGCTTGTGTTTAGGCCACGTTTGAGGGACCCACAAAACAATCTTCCCATAATCTAAACCCTTCGAAGCCTGCACCATTACTCAAGGTGCCCAAATTCACCTAACCCTGCGATCATCTCAAATCGCGGGCCATTTCTCACCCGGATATTGATTTGTAGGGTTACCATGGCGAAAGAAAGTCTCTCATTTATTTATATTAACCGGCAGACAGTGGTGACTGAGTTTGTTGCGGCGCTTCTTCTCAGCACTCGCCAAATGTTGGTCTCGAAGCGCTGGTAGGGTAAAAAGATTATGGGACATGTAGAGGCTCCTTAAGAGCAAAATGACGATTTGTAAGAACTATTTATTAGTCTAAACAAATAAAGAAATTTTGACTTTGACTTTGACTAAAAAGCCGGTGAAATTAGGAAAAAATCTGAAAAATTCGCTAAAAATATAACGAAGATACTCTACCGTCATTGTGTGGTTAGTGGTAGAGGTTCTGGGTTTGATTCCCAGATCGGAAAAATAAGTATAATAATATTACTGTTGTTTTCAGTTTGACACCGACATTTTTGACTTCGACTTGCTGTAATTATTACTCCTTAGTTATATCACGGGACACGTTTAGACGTTGTTCCGTTTAAGCCATTCCGATGAATGGTTCAAAAATCTAGTGGAAGATTTTTGCGATAAAGAAGATTATTACGATGGAAGAACAAAACGAAATATTTGCTATTTAGATCGACATGAAACGAGGTAACGGTCGAGTGTCCGAGTATATCCGGAAAAAATCGTGGTAAACGGTCCGGTCCAGTTAGTGTCCCAATATGTCTGAAAAAAACCGTACTTATGGCAACCCTATCCAGGGATCAAAGAGACCCGGGTTATTTATGATTGTTTACGTACACTTGACGTTTTGGGAGACGCCGGTAATGGGGGGTTGATAGCCTATCAATGTTGGTATGAAGACAAACGATGGAACTACTCGTACAGTTACTACAATCTGTTACTACTAGCAGTACCAAAGATAATACAAATAGGGATATTGTCAATTTGCCACAAAGTCACACTTTTGTAAGCTTCACTGATCTATTCTTACGAGTAATATGCAAGTTTTAAGTGTGACGAATTCACACATTATTTTCCCGAGACGAGTAAATTCTGTGGCAAATCACAGACAAGCTAAAAACCACACAAACTAATTTTTACCTGCCTATTATTTTGCCCACTTTAAAGTAGGTAGGCGTTTATTAATACTTGTAATGTTTTATGGAAAATCAATGGTTTAATTGGAAATTGAACTGGAAAATGGCTATTCTTATCTCCTACCTACCTACATACTAGGTCCCCTTTCTTTGTCTTGGAATAAGTCAATATACATATCACATTTGTCTCCCTAAAACCTAAGTACGTGAATCATTAGCTAATTCCCATTCTCCCTCCACAGGTCTGGTTCCAGAACCGCCGGGCGAAGTGGAAAAAGCGCAAGAAGAGCACCAACGTGTTCCGATCTCCAGGGGCGCTGTTGCCCTCCCATGGACTCCCACCCTTCGGGACTGGAGACGTCTGTAGTCCGGGAGTGTTCGCTGACCGACCCTGGTCCATGCCTGCAGGTGAGACTCTTTTAAGATGTCAAATAAATACAGCTAGCAGTTAGGTAGTTTAGAACATGAAATAAGCAAGGAAAAGAGACATAAAAGTAATGTAAACTTTAAAAACATCAGCAATAAGTTTTATGTTTCATTATTAATTTTATCATGCATCTTTTTTTTTCTTTTCTATTCAATACTTGCTACATATTTCTGCCAAATTTCAATGCGCGCCATCTGTTGCCGAGTAGCGGAAACATTCGCGCGGTTTGTCGTGTGACCATGACTTCGGTGACATTAGGATAATATTTTAATTTATTGAAAAAGGACATTGTCAGAAACCGCCTCAGATTCCTGGGCACAGCAGTAAAGTATCAAAATTAATCTCTTACTTTTTGAATACTTAAATATTAATTAGATTGTAACGGACACTTGAGGATTAAAAAATGAAATAATAAAAGTATTTTATATGTATTCCATAATACTATGACGACATCCGGACATTTTAGGGCGTGGCCTGCTCCATATCCTATGAAGTTGAGGANGGAGCTGTCAGGCAGACCTACCGACCGCCGTAAGGGAAGACGCGTTGTTGCTTGCTGCGAGCCGATATCCGTGTTATCAGTGTTGCTTGGTGTTATTGGTTCGACTTACCAATTCAACATAACATACAATAGTGTACACTACATTAATACTTGGAAATCAATAGATTAATTGGAAATTGAACTGGAAAATGGCTATTGTTATCTCCCAGACAACATGCACAGAATAAATACCTACCTACATAGGTAGGTACTTTCTTTGTCTTGGAATAAGTCAATATACATATCACATTTGTCTCCCTAAAACCTAAGTACGTGAATCATTAGCTAATTCCCATTCTCCCTCCACAGGTCTGGTTCCAGAACCGCCGGGCGAAGTGGAAAAAGCGCAAGAAGAGCACCAACGTGTTCCGATCTCCAGGGGCGCTCCTGCCCTCCCATGGACTCCCGCCCTTCGGGACTGGAGACGTCTGTAGTCCGGGAGTGTTCGCAGACCGGCCCTGGTCCATGCCTGCAGGTGAGACTCATACTTTTGACCTAAAGATTACTGTACGGCTTGCACGAAAAACTTTCGAGTTCGAATCGTTTGCGTATTCGAACCGCCATCAAAAGATTTAGTACGAAAACTACAACAGCGCCCTTGTGCACGAAACTTATTTTGAGAATCAAAATTGTCACGTTATCGTTTAAATCGATGGTTAAATATCGAATTTTGTCGAATACGCAAACGATTCGAGGACAAAAGTTGTTCATGCTAGAGGTACTGCATAACCAATTGAGTACCTATCACATTGGAGACGTGGTGTAGTCCAGACGTGTTCGCTGACCGACCCTGGTCCATGATCCATGATCCATGCTTGCAGGTGAGACTCTTTTTTTTAGATCATAAGACTAGTGCACAACTTGTCACACTGGAGACTTCTGCTTTCCGGTAAGGGTTACTTCGAAAAACGTTGTCCGAAGTTGCCATCCCTCTCACGCATAGCGAGATGCTAGCATGAGCGACAGTGACAGAATAGACCCGAAACTACGTTTACGTAGCGTTTCGGTGTAGCACTGCAGGGATGTTGATTGACCATGGTAGCTCTGGCAGGTGAGGCTGGTTATAAAGTCTACAGCAGAACCAGATGTGCATCAAGAAGAGCACCAACGTGTTCCGATCTCCAGGGGCACTGCTGCCCTCCCACGGACTCCCGCCCTTCGGGACTGGAGACGTCTGTAGTCCGGGAGTGTTCGCAGACCGGCCCTGGTCCATGCCTGCAGGTGAGACTCATACTTTTGACCTAAAGACTACTGTACGGCTTGCACGAAAAACTTTCGAGTTCGAATCGTTTGCGTATTCGAACCGCCATCAAAAGATTTAGCACGAAAACTTAGATTAATCTAAGTACGAAAACTACAACAGCGCCCTTGTGCACGAAACTTATTTTGAGAATCAAAATTGTCACGTTATCGTTTAAATCGAAGGTTAAATATCGAATTTTGTCGAATACGCAAACGATTCGAGGACCAAAGTTGTTCATGCTAGAGGTACGGCATAACCAATTGAGTACCTATCACATTGGAGACGTGGTGTAGTCCAGACGTGTTCGCTGATCGACCTTGGTCCATGATCCATGCCTGCAGGTGAGACTCTTCAAGACTTGAACGTCTTAACTACTATTTTTTTAGAACGTAAATTGAGGTACAAAGACCAAAGGAGGTAAACTAATGTAAACTGTAAAAACACCAGTAAAAAGTTTTATGTTTCATGCTTTATTAATCTAAAGATTCATGATTTTTTCATTCCTGCAATGTTTCTACCAAATTTCAATGTGCGCCATCTGTTGTTGAGTAGTGGAAACATTCGTGCGTGCTTGTCGTGTGACCATGACTTCGGCGTCCTTGGGACTAAGATTTTTTCTTATAAAAAATTATCATTGCAAAAATATTATCTAAGATAACCATGCTTTAATATGATTAATTAACTCTAGTAAGTTCTTAAGTAAATATTTAAATAAGGAAATGGGCCATTTTATTAAATTAATGAATGTCATTTCAGGTCTCGGCCAGCTATCCCAGGGTGGTGTGTCTATGGGGGGCTTCGGAGCGGGCACGCTGCCCCAACTAGCGGCTGATCTTAACCCATCGCTTCCCATAAGTTCTGTGGCCTCTGGGCAGCCGTACCAAGGCCACTACCCGCTGAATTCGCTGGGTAAGTAAAATTTTCATTTAGTATATTTTTAAATATGTTGAACTAACCTACATAAAATCAAACTCAGACAATGAAGTGGCTACGCAGGTAACCATTAACAGTTACTTTTTTTTAACTTTTTTTCTTCAAAAGAATGTGATTTTCTGCATAATATTTCGTAGCAAGAAGAGAGCAAATGAAACCATATTTTTCTTCGGTTGACGGAAAAGTTACGTTTTATTCTTTTCTTTTATATTACTTTTTTCTGTCCTTGACAGAATGAAATATTTTGTGAAATGTGTCAATTTTTTTCGTAGGCGATACCATGATGTCGTACTGCAACAACATCAGTGGTGGTCAGCAGGCTGGCGGACCGCTAGAGGGCTCCCCCACTCCTCCTCACATGCACTGCGCCAACAACAACGCGTCGCCTACAGCTTCAGGTAAGCCCAAGAAATACTTTATGAGATACTAATATTAATTGCTTTCATAAATAGCGATGTAGCCTGAAAATACGTAATGACCTACTGGAGTTTGCAATGAAATTTCTTCAAAAAACTAAATAAAATTAAAAACTAACATAAATGCTTGAGTAGGTATTTATGTTTGAGGACTATGGTGATTTTCTGATTTTGTACTATGACCATAGTTTGACGTTATTAGTATTAATCATTGTTTAATTACCTTTTACAGGTAATGGAGGCGAACCAGCTGAAGAAGAAGTGTGGCGCGGTCATAGCATCGCTGCGCTCAGACGCCGAGCATCGGAGCTCTCCGCGGCCATACCACCGTATCTCCAACTAAACTACGACGCACACAGCCCGGTGTACTGACCGTGTGACTTTCGATCGAGCGGCGTTCGATCGAGCGATTTTCTCGTTCAACCGGACGACGGACCACGAGATATCGACAGAGTTGCTATCCGTCACTGTTTGAATGATTTTTCAAACAGACCGGTTTATTAAAGTTTTTGATTTCGGATTTATATTAATAAATCTGAGATAATAAGTAAAGATGCTGGATTGTTTTATGACACATACAGAACAGTTTCTGAACACAAAAACAATACTTTACTTATAATAATATAAAAATATTGAATAATCGATTCAGTAGTTGAAATGCATGAAATGCCCAAAAATAATACCCGTGTTGCGTTAATTGGAAGTAACATTTTCAGAACGGTTTAGAACTTAATGAAATATTGTGATACGACTTTGGTAATCCTAATCTCTAAAACTCAGACTATCGATGTATACGATCTATCAATTTATATTGGTACGTTACAGTAATTATTAGCACTTACTCGTATCTTACAATTCTTTATTAAACAAAGATGTGTTCAAATAATTGTATAAAATACAATCCCCATCATAAGGGATTGTATTTAGAGACAATATTTGCAATGAATTCTTCGAAGAACAAGGAATACAGTTCGACGTTTATCTGACTGTAGTAAAGAATGTGATCTCTGTTTTTGGTTACTGAAGAGTATCTAACTTAGAAATATTGAGAAAAAATAATTCTCCTCGAGACTTCTAAATTGATGTCTTCAATGCATTTTTGATGCCATACCGTGACTACAGTATTTTAGTCACTTCTTAGGGCATCGTAATTTGAAAATTGTGAGCTGTATAAAAATACGTGTATACGCATTCGTACAATAATAATTTTAAATATTTGTAATTGTAAGCTATTTATTTCCTAAGCGATTATTATAAAGATATAGACATAGTTTTAGGTAGACCTAAAATCAATGTATCTATAAAAGTTTGTGGTATCCAAGGTTTTAGATATTAGGTATTGTTTCAACATTCCAGATTCAATGGTAGAGTAATTAAATTATCTAGATAATAACTGAAAACCGCTCCTTATATTTTATTATTGTAATTGATCCGTTTCTTCGTGAACATAATAATAAGTACTTAAAACACACGAAACTAACGATAATAGATATTATTGCAAATAGCCAAAAGAACCTTCAATTATAATGTGATAGCCAGTGGAATGTGTTTCTATTTTTCACGCTTTTTCTAAGCTATCTTCTTCTTTTTTCATCTAATTTTACCTCTGCAACAACTCTGTGCCAACATACGTCGTAGAATAACTAGTACTAAAACTTATCTTCTTATTATTTAAAAAAGGTTCCTTGAATAAAACAAGAAAAAGTGTTAAAAATAGTAATGCAATGGTGGGTATCTCGATCCAAAGTATTTTATGTGTGTAAATGTATAGTTAGATAATATAAAATTAAATAAGTGGATTTTTTATTAAATTCGGAAACTCGCGGCCACTCTTTTTATTTTTATTGATTAGTTAAAAGTGGTTGATAGTTCCTATTTTTTTGGCCCCGGTGAGTGTATTGTTTAAGTTAACTCATATTGTTTTTGTTCTAAGTATTATTTCCGTCCGTCAAAGATATTTTTTTTCAACTATTTTTCTCTGGGGCCTTGATTTTTGAAAGCTGCATCTGCATATACGTATTAGTATTATATTTTATGTACAGTAGTTTTAAGTTTCATTGGAAAGAAGCCGAAGTTTTGGTTTTGCTTATTTTGTATAAAATAACAATCGTAAAATCTGAACTTAAATTTAAATCCAAAATGTACTACGATTATGTGCTACGTACCCATAATTCGGTCTTAAAACGAAATTATTTTCTGTTATTCCATGAATTCTTTATAAGTGAAGGACTGAGTGAATATTTTAGCGTTTAGAAGATACCTAAATTAATAATATAAGTATTTACGATGATTCGCTCGCCCGTATAGCCTACATTTAGTAATATGCATTATATTAGTTAACTAAGCATTATTATACATACATACAATAAAATAGACAATGTTCGAATGGGTTGTTTTATTTACTATACAATTTATAATGTATTTAGTAGAACGCATTGTGATCAAAAAATCATTTTTTATGTGTTGCTTCTTTTCTCATACCTACCTAGAAGTTAATGGTTTTCTCAAATTTATATCCTTCATTATTAAAATGCATGGCTACCATACTCAAGATAAATTAGTTAGTCTATTCGTCGCTAGATAGCGCTAAAAGCAAAAAGCATGCTTTTATATGTACACATAATTGCGCTACTCACCCCTAGATGTCACTATGTTTGTGTTGCTTTACCTGTAATTTATATTGTGAACGGTAGATGGCGTTTCCTCCCCTTCGAATTAAAACTACTTAGAACGCGTTGCTACGAGAAAATGAAAATTGATCTAATACTGCCTGTTAACGATAAAAACAAAGTAGGTGTAAAAATGTCTATCAAATCGCAGAAATCTTTAAATGATGAGTGTTCCGAAATTATTGAAAAGAGCTATTCGGTTAGAAGTGCGTCAGAAGAAAGCTTGTCTTGCTGGTGTGTATACCTAAATAAAACTAATTAAATCTACTTGTTCTAGTAGCCATTTAAAGCTATAACAGTTAGGCTGGGTTGCACCATCTTACTTTGACTTCAAAAATCTGTCAAACTCCATACAAAATACGCCGGTTATCGTTCTAGTCACGGTTAAAGTTAGGTGTTGCAACTCAGCCTAAGTCTTTGTTTATTCATGTGACATATTTATTAATGGACAGTGTTTTTAAACTCAAAAGTTACATTGAAGAAGGTAGCACATGTCATAGCTTAAAATCAAAGGAGCTACCCAACTCTACACAAGTATTGAGCTGATTCGGTAAGAATCTCGTAGCACCGTTTATTTTAATTTTTCATTCAGAATCAGAATCAGAAATATTTATTTGCTTTTACATGGTTTTACAAGATATTATTATTACAATTGGCATGTCCACATGTTGACTTAATTAGTCGTGCAAATATTGAAAAAAATAATAATGTAAGTACAAAAGAACAATAATAAATTACAGCGTTTGAATGTCAGGATTATTATTACAATGGATTATATTAACATGCTTTACAATAAATAATTCTAGTCGAGAAAATTAAATAGTCTGTTAATCATAATAATTTGTCGTCAAAGTATTCTTGTATTGAGTAATAGCATTTATTCAAAAGCCAGATATGCAACTTTTTTTTAAACAACTCTAGCGGCAACAGTTTAAAAAATTCAGGTAACTTATTATATATTTTAATAGCCATACAATAGGGGCTTCGTTTAAATAATTGCAGTCTTATGCTAGGAAACATTATTCTACTTTGGTGTCTCGTTTGCTTATTTTTATATTGGCCTCTTGTAACAAAATATTGAGGGTTTTGTTTTAACCGTAGACATATTTTATGTAAGTAGGTACAACCCGATCGAGCTAACTGTTAGCTCTACTTAGCTAACAGCGTACTTACCTCGCTGGAATGCGACTTACCAGCACGCCTCGTCTCTCTCGTCGATGTGACGTCACGTAACTGCCAGGTGCGCAGTTAACTTTATCGGGGTAACTAACACAACACCCAATATACACGTAATGTGGTTAATGTGCTGTCTACACAGTGACGATGACGAGGTCCTGGCGAGAGAGCTGATGAACAAGATGACGCCGGCAGTTCTGAGCAAGCTGCGCAGGAGTTTCAGGAAGAACAAGCAGCGGAGCCAGGCTTGCGATATTGACAGGTACCTACTACAACTGTCGAAGTAAAAGTAAAGTGAAAACGTCTTTACTTCGTAGTTTAACATAACATTGTATAATCATGTTTGTGGTTGAGACAAATTCAATAACTCAAGATTTTACGTGTTCACATGATGTTTACTACACTCGGCATCAAATAAATCGCACCTCCCGCGACAAGCACTTATCAAACGTATGCATCCCCACTTCCCACCAACATTGATACCATTTGAATGCCTAGTTCTAAACTTCATTTCATTAAAGGAAAGGTTTTTACCCCAAAAATGTGTCTTTACAAGGATCCAGAGTCACTTCTTCAAAAAATAGGTAGTTACGCTATGGCCATTTTTTATGACTATAAAACTGTTAAGTTCGGATTAATCGCTATCCATCTGTTAAAGAGGACACGTGAGATCTTTATTTGGTTTTATAACCATAAAAATTGGTCTAATTGATCCCAGAGGTGAGCCCAAAGTGAGGTCTATTTTCAAGTCACATTTATGGTATATGTTAATCATTTATTTAGAAATGAAATGTATTTTTCTTTAAGGATATTTATTGGGCTTTCAAATAACACCAATATTGTTGGGGTACCATGATTGTGTCAGGAGAAAATCTTTAAAGTTCGCGTCGCGGAAGTTGCGGATTATTTGATGTTGAGTGTATTTTGATAAGGTAGAAGAGAACCTTTATTGTCATTGTTTCAACCAAAAAACGTCCACAGCTGCCAAAGGCCCAAGAACTCCACAACGATCGGTCTTGCGCTGCTCACAACATAGTATCCTGTGAGATCACGGTGGAGTCTCTGCCAACCCTCCGACTTGCAAAACATTACATTCATACATATTAATTTAGTTAGCTAGCTTTTGTCCGAGGCTTCGTGCGCTTGACCAGACAGATTTACTTTCCCATTTATGATATTAGTAAGTATGGATGACACACATAAATTAAACTGCTATTTTACCTAGACGAGTGGAGCAAGTGATGAGGGCAGCAGCAGCGGAGGAGGGCATCCAGTTCGCAGCGCCGGCCAAGCCGCTGGAAGACTCCTTATGGCTCGACGAGGCTGGCTTTGTTAGTGCCTTGGACACCATCTTTGGTAAACACTTGTTCTTTTTCTTTTAATTCTTCTGCTTATTTTATAACTAGCGCGAGCGGCCCGCCCCGGATTCACACGGTTGCCATGGAATTTCCCGGCTTTTCTCTTCTATAATATGCATGTTTTATATCTACATATAAACCTTCCTTTTGAGTCACTCTATTTATTAAAAAAAACGCATCAAAATTCGTTGCGTAGTAGGGACATACAGCGGAAAGCGACTTTGATTTATACCTACTATGTAGTGATGATGTGCTAACGCAGACGGGCTATTGCCACCACCTCTTGTCCCTAACGCTGCAACTCCATCTTTGGTAAAACTTGTTTTTTCTTTCTCTAGTTCTTCTTGTTATTTGGTGTTAATGAACAATTGAGTTTACGGGATTTTTCCCAATTCTCATCCCTAACGCTGTAACTCTATCTTTAGTATTACTTTATCTATTTCTTTTGCTTCTTCTTCATTTGTCAAACATTGGAGGATTTGATGAAATTCAATTAAAACTAGATAATGAAACTTTTAGATTTTAATGATAGACCTGTTCTCTTCCAGGCCACCATAAATATACCACGCACTCTCACAAGCTCTTCCAACTCCTCGACCCCTTCCACAGTGGGAAGGTCTGGTGGCGGCAGCTGGTCAACCGTCTGGTGGCCGTTGGGGCGAGGAAGACCAGCTCCAGGGCAGACGTGTGGAATCATGTGAAGGAGGGGGCGGTGAAGAGACTGGAGCATTGCAAGGTACCTACGGCTGATGGCACAAGATAACCAAAGCCTCAATAATTTGTTGGTTTAACAGTACTCACTTAGTGTGTCAAGGTCTGATTGAAGAAGGAAGCAATCATTGAGAGATTTAAGCCTCGCTGCAGAGGAATCGCCCTCGTACTCCACTCCTGTACTCGAACCAACATGGTGACGTTTATGTACAAGCACTTCAGCACCTCGATATGTACCGATACTTTTCAGAAACTGGCTTGTTCGGGAGGCTGGAAGTCATCATACATTTTAAGATCGTCAGCGTACAGTAAAAATGTTGAGTGATTAAAGCATTTCTTGATGTTGTTGACGTATAAAAGGAATAGCAGAGGGCCTAGAATGGATCCCTTGACAAAATAGATCAGGGAGAAAGAAAGATGCTGTGAACATAGGCCTATAATAAGGGCCAGATTGTCACAGAAAAAATACTTGCAGAAGGAGAAAAAAGAGTCGATTGCGTATATTATGTGGAGGGACTTGAATATTGTCCATTTTCTTTTTCAGAGAGAATCCATCGTGAAACTAGTCAGCATCGAGAGAGACGACTCGTTTTGCTACGTCGCAGTCTCAAAAGGGGGCAGAGTGGGCATCTATAGTGGGGATCTGCAGTTGCTCACTTCTTACGAGGTTTGTTTTATTCCTATTCATCATCAGCTTCACTATATTAGTGACCTAATTTTTTTTTAAAGGTTACTTAAACCTTTGTTTTGTCACCTGTCATTTCCTTTGCACTGGAGGGAACTTCGAAATCTTCCTATGTTCTCTTGATTAATTTCGTTGCGGGTCCATTGTCAGTTAACTTTCCCCCGGGACAAACTTGACCTTCACTGGTTGGGTTTATTGTTGGTCAAACTGTAGATCCTGGCTACACAGGAGTGAGTTGCAGCGGTGGACGAGATGTGGGGATAGTCCCGTTTTAGTGACATCATCTTACTGCTTTCAGTTACGTCAAATTACTTCTTTGTCAGCTTCACTGCTTTCAGTAACGTCATCTTCAGTTGGATGAACAACTGGAACTTATTCGCAAATATGTTTCAGGTATTCTATCACAGAACAGGCGTTCATCGACGAGTGAAGAATTCCTGGATAACAGATGCCATTTATCTTAACGTAAGTTATTTGATCATGCCATTTTTTACATAGGTACATAGCATTTTACTAGCTTAGTTTGGGATTAGATGGGGCAGTATGAAAATGTCTTAGAATATTTTATTTTAATGTAGAATTTAGGTATATTCGGCCCAAGCTTAGAAAGAAAAATTTCGTTTTCTTTGACGTATTTATTGTTTTTACAGGACGTGCAATGCTTGTTGCTGTCAGCATCAGATAGAAGCTTGACCGTTTACGATGCTACTACACTGACGCACACTGCCACATTCTGCATTACTGGTCTGCCTAGTATACCGACAGTAAGTATTTAATAAGACATAATGCATCCATGACTATACCTATAGTCAGAGACCTGCAATGAAATTAAAGAGACATGTTTGGAGGAGTTCGAACTCTTAAGCAATCCACTTCCCTTCAGTTAGTGCCAGCCAGGCGAATACCCGTCAAATTCAAAAATTCAAATCCTTTATTTAGTATACTTAGGCCCTTCTAATCCCTTAGATTTCAAGACTATTAGCTATCCCCCGGGACTATTCAACCTTCACTGGTTGGGTTTCGTTGGAGGCCAAGCTGTAGATCCTGTTTATACAGGTGTTCCAGTGGTGGAAAAGTGTGATGGAATAAGTCCCGCAAATGTGGTACCTACTTACCTAAAATTTTACATGATTGTGTAATAAGGCTTGAGACTAAAGCCTGAGAATAGTAAAATTCATATTGTATTTCTTTTTCTCTAGTGCCTAGCCTATTCCAACTCAGATCTGGAAGGTTCCGAGCTACTCTTCGGCACGGAGCGGGGTGATCTGACCAGGATTCGGTTCCTGCAGCCGAGACTGTCACTGTTTTACAGCAAGACTCCCGATAACATCAATTACTACTTTTGGATGGTGAGTCAATGCTTTTAATTTATGATTATTAAGCGATTTCATTCATTTCAATACATACTCTTGCTCTCTCATCGTCATCATTTCAGCCATAAGACGTTCACTGCTGAACATAGGCCTCCCCCAATTATTTCCACATCGCCCAATTTGGTAGCGTCCTGCATTTAGCGTGGATGCAGCGAGGGACGTCCTCCTATTAGGTGGACCGACGATTTATTACCCTCGCATTCATTAAAATCTTGCAAACAATATCAATATAGAGCAGCAACTCTGGTGGTACCTACCAACATAGAAGTCTTTTTTGAATAGTTTATAATATTGTCTGTTATCGTGATTTTGACTCTTTGATTTTGATTTTGACTCAATTTTCTATAGGAAAGGTCCTTCAAAAGTCTGTCAACATAGCTATACATCAAAATATATGAATCAAATTGCCTAAACCTGCTCTCCAATTCCCAGGAGCTGTCATCCCCCCCTCACACCACATACAATGCCATCACCACATGGCGCAAAGTCCACTCGCGCGCAGTTCGGCGCGTGGCGTACACACGAGACGGCGACATCGTGCTGTCCTGCTCCCACGATTCCACCGTCAGTGTTCGCTCCAGGCATGTACCTGGGAAGCTGGATGACTACGTCTTCAGAGTGCAAAGGGTAAGATAACTTGGAGGCTATAGCGATGGCTCCTACGTATAAGGGCGAAACTGACGCTTACGCCTTTTTCCAATTATATAAGCAATGATTTCACTTTGCTCTAATCTATAACATCAGTAAGAAAAAAAATTTTTTTTTCCATTAGATACAAAATAAAATTTTAGGCAAATAGGCGTATGTGCAAAACTACGCCACGTATAAAGCCCAATCATACGATTCGTCAATCTATACGAGTAGTTGCTTACATAAACATATATTTTTTATAATCCAAATCTTAAATAAAGCCATGAAAATATTTAGCAAATTGTTTTATTTATAAATTATGACACATTATATAGTTATTTAATTTTTAGCGTTAAGAGTCGCATCTCAAACTAATTTGAAAATTATAAATAACTTGAAAAAATCGAACTGCCTAAGGCATCGTGGGTTCAATTCCCGCCTTAGGCAATTCGATTTTTTCAAGTTATTTATATTTTTTAAAAATATGACACATTATGTTAAAAGACCTAACTAAATCTCGAGCACAGTATATGGGCGTATTTGCGTTAAAACGTAAAACGGTACATTAAACGACTTTTTCTAACTGATTTATTATTGATATAGCACATGATAACAATTAAAATAATTACATGCATAAATAAAGAGAGTAATCGCTTAAAATATTATATTTACGTTGTCATTTAAGTCTCTTTACGTTGAACAATATACATAAAATTATAGAAATATACCGACGTAAAAGGGCAATGCGTAAAATCTCAAAATATACACCGTGTTACTTTGCATTCTTGCCATATTCACAGAGATAAAAGTAGGGAACAATACCTATTATTTAAGATAAAATATAAAAATTGATAACAGCAGTAGCAAAAGCATTACATGTTAAGGCTAAATGTGAAATTTCATTAAATTCGTTTTAGTAGGTCAGAAGATATGACCCAAAAATATGGTTCTGGCCACTAAAATGGCTCTCCTGTAAAATTTACTTTTTTCACTTACGCCAGTATACGTAGGAGCCATCGATAGAGTCTTTCATAGTTTTGTCTTCTTAGCCTATGGCAGTCCACTTCTGGACGTTAGGCTAGGAACTCTATAACACACATTATTGTAGTGGATTTGGACATAGGTACTAATCCATTGTATACCTTTTATGAGCTGCTAAAGCGTGACTCTCCCATAGATTGTGTATTGCTTGGCAATTGGGACAAAAAGTAAAGTAAAAAGTAAAGTCATCAGTAAGTCATCAGGTCGCGAATTCTAATTGAACCAACGCTATTTATTGATTACAAAGCTATTAAAAACAGAACTTTCACTTTACAATAAGACCACAAACTAATTTGGGTTTTCAGGATAGATTAATGGTTTTTAAAAAGGTTCTGTCTTACCATCAGGTGACCCTTCACTTAGAACTTAGTAGAACCCAGCAGCACAAACAGATCGCGAAGTATTTAGCCATTTCAAGCAGTTCATGAATTTACGAGGACTATTCCCAGGGTGTGACGTGTTTCCACGTGGTATCTCCCCTCCACCTGCTGGCCACGGGAAGCTGCGACGGGATCGTCCGTCTATGGGAAACCACGCAGGCTGCACCCTTCGCGACACTCCCTACTCCGACCCTGGCTGCTGTACTGGACGTCGCTGTGATTGCTTCTGAAGAGATCGTGCTGGCTTACTGTAATAACTGTGTAAGTTGTAGAACACTACTATTTCGTCTCCACCATTGCATTTGCAATTCCTGAACGGTCAGGATCTGAAACTTGGTAAATGGTAACTAGTGAAACCCAAGCAGTGAAGCTTGTGTCCCAAGGGATAGCTGTGTGTGAATCCGCACCTCAAAATAATTCATGAGAAACCCTTCGCGACACTCCCTACTCCGACCTTGGCTGCTGTACTGGACGTCGCTGTGATTGCTTCTGAAGAGATCGTGCTGGCTTACTGCAATAACTGCGTAAGTTTAATGGGAGTAATTCCATCTTTACCATTATAATTATGTACAGTCGACAGCACATCAAGTTATACATTTTTGTTGAAAAATAGTCTCTGTTACAACGAAATAAGATGCCACTGTGTTTAGGTTGATGTGCTGTCGTCCGTACTAAGATCTACAGTTTGACCTCTAATGAAACCCAAGCAGGGTAGGTTCTGGAGGATAGCTGTTTTGGATACTGTAGTTCAGAATAATTTATAAGAACTTCAAGGTACTTCACCTAAAGTACCTTGAAGTACCCAATTTGAGTGCAGGTCACACCCTTTTTTTTGCGAGAGCGAGAGCGATTATTATCATACATTGGACTAACCGTTGATAAAAAACTGAATTTCATTCAACATATCGATGAAGTAGTTTTAAAGGCATCTAAAATGTTAGGATTTGTTCTGAGACAGTGTAAAGATTTCAAAAAGCCTAGTACAAAAAAAGTAATGTATAACTCGTTAGTTAGGAGCCACTTGGAATACTGTAGTGTTGTCTGGTCTCCTGGATATGGTGTGCATATCGCACGAATTGAACGGCTGCAGAAGAGGTTTTTATGGCATCTGACATACAATTGCAAATTGGGGAAAAAGCTCAAATCATATAAGGATCGCCTAAAATATTTCAGAATGGCATCGCTGGAGAGGCGCAGAGAAATGTTGGATTTAGTTTTTCTAAAAAAACTTACAGCTGGTATATTTAATTGTCCCGATTTACTTAGCAAAGTTTATTACCATGTGCCACGTGTTCTACCCAGACAATTAAATAAAAAACTATTCAGCTTGCCGCAAGGCCGCACCAATTTGAGAAAGCACAGTTCGCTGTCCAGGATGTATACATTGTATATGGACCATGAAACCGACATAGATTTAAACTTTACCTCAATACCTGGTATAAAGAAGGCCATACTTGCTTTGGAATAATCATGCATTTAAAATTAACTGAATTTATTTAAATACTGTATTGGTTATCTCTATTGTAACAAACATTTGCGAATATGTTCGATGCATCTGTATTATTGTATACTGTAGCAATATAAAATTGCACTGTAGTGTAGGTAGCATTTGCATTTTTTATTTTTTGCGTAGTTACACATTATTTAGCAGATGCAGTGCTTTTCTTTAAGTGATGGGGCACTTATACATGTAATTTTGGTTATGTATTTTAAATTTTAATAGTGTACTTATTGTTGAAAAGCCAAAATAAATAAATAAATAAATAAATAAATAAATAAACCCGCCCATAATATGGCTACGAAAATATAATTATTTACAATTTCATTGCAACTTCTTGTTATCGAGAAAAATGAGTCTCTACCCTTGATAATGCTTTCCATTTAACACCAATTTAATCTTTTTGCATAGACGGTGCACATCTGGGATATGTACGAAGAATGTCTGCTGCAAAGCATCAAGTTGCGGTTCCCATTTCTTGGAGTCCTCGGAAAGAAAGTGGAATTTGGGGCTTTTTGCATTCATCCTGGTAAGACATTATAAGACGTAGCACACTTATCAACCCGGGAACGGATCGTAACCGTATCAACTCGAGGCGGTCAGTATTTGTATGAAACTCCGTACTGCAAAGCGAAAGCACACTACGTAAACGCCTCGTCTCGTCTGACAGCGCGGCGGAAGGCGATACGGTGTTGAATCCTTCCCGGGTTGGTGTGCTATGACCTTAATCCTATACCTTTCCTAATTGATAACATACTTAATAACTTTGAATGAAAACTATAGCTGCAGCAAATGTTTCGTTTCAGGTCCTACCCGCAGACCTTACGTTGATGATGACCTGGCTTCAATACCACCTCTAGAAGCGACGTCTCGCCGAGGGTCCAGCGTCTACCAGGGATCGACGGGCGGCCTGATGCTGCAGACTGAAGCCAGGGACGACTGGCAGTCTAGAGGACTGGAGAGTGAACCGTAAGACTTCAAGTATTTTATGGTTGGAATTGGAAATTTGAGGAATTAAACTGAAATCAGGTTTTGATTGGGAAATATCCTAGATGGATCCGCTTTCACTGATTCTTGATGTTAATGGTTAGATAATTGGAGAATTGGTCCTCAGTTCGATTCCCATGTGAGTCACACTTAGGCTGCGTTGCACCATCTTACTTTGAGAAACGTCAAAAGTCTGTCAAACTCCATACAAAAAACACCGGTTATTGTTAAAGTTTCTGTTAAAGTTGGTTGGTGCAACTCAGCCTTAGTGAACTTTAGTATTAGTTCCATGTTCTAACTAAATTAACTGATTTTCCCAATAAAACATTGATTTTGTGCTTAAAAAAATCTTACGCCGTCGCGCGACAATACTGTTCGATTGTGTCCTGTAAACACTTATGGTGAATCATTAAAAGAAAGAAAGAAAGACCGGCTCCTTTTTTAACGCCCGTATTCATAAACGATGCTTGCTTAAATGAAGCAGAAAATCAAACGCTCAGATCATCGATAACATGGAAAGAATTGGAAAGGCCTATGTTCAGCAGTGGACGTCTTATGTCTGAAATGATGATGATGATGATGATGATAGTAAGGCCCTTTTCACACGTCCCGGTTGCCGGCTAACCGGCGCCGGGTACCTTGTGGTGAAGTGTATGGGCATGGTACGTAGCTTTCACATGTACCGGCGTAATTAATCCGGCATGCCCATACACTTCACCGGATACCCGGCGCCGGTTAGCCGGCAACCGGGACATGTGAAAAGGGCCTAATTCTCAAAGAATCAAACTAGATACTTCTCGTTTCCAGGGAATACATCCGCTTCAACCGGCCCGAGCTGCTCCTCTCCTGCTGCGACTACGTCTGCGTGGTGCTCCTCAAGGACCAGGAGTTGGGCAGCATCATGCCGCCTCCAGGAGACACCCTGAGGGCTAGGAGGCCGTCCATTTGGGAACTGCCAGATGATATGCTTTCGAGTAAGCGGATTTTTAAACATTTGAATTTATTTTTAAAATATTGAAGAATACAAGGCCATATCAATCTACAAGATAAAGATGATAAACTGGTAAAGATGCAATATGCAGCTGGATGTAGACCGCTTCCAACCAGAGAATTTGGGGGACAATATTACCCTCAGGGGAGGTCTATGTATTAGACGTCCTATGAAATTATGATGATGATATTATATGTATAAGTTACGAAGCTATTCGATATCATCATCACTCGATTGCAGGATATTCTCCTTAACTTTCTTCTTCGTATTTCGTATCTATAGCGTTTCCCTTCTACAATATTTTGGTTATATGCCTGAAGATCATGACTTATTTGACTTAAGATCCTATGTCCCCTAGATGAGGCAGAGGGCGTCCACGACAGTCCTCCATCGCGTTCGGTCTTGAGCTTCGCGTTTGATCTCGCTCCAGGTCTTGCCGATTTACTTCGCCTCATCTGCTTGTGCGCCGCCTGAAGATCATAATAAGAACTGTTTTAACATCATTTCAGCTCCAGGATTGTCTCGCCGTTCACCGCGGTCTCCTCGGTCTCCGCCTGTTCCATCTCCTAGGATGTTAGCACCGTCATCAGCAGAGTATCCTACTCAAGATCTGGAGACATTACTCAAGAATGCGGGTTGGTAGTTCTTTTTAAAGGTCATAGCGGACTTATCAACTCGGAAAGGGATCAACACTATCGCCTTTCGCGAGCTGTCATCGTCTTTCGCGAGCTGTCATCGCCTTTCGCGAGCTGTCATCTTCTTTCGCGAACTGTCATCTTCTTTCGCGAGCTGTCATCGCCTTTCGCAAGCTGTCATTGCCTTTCGCGCGCAGTCAATTTACGAAGCGAAGGCAAGGCGTTTACGTTACGGCGCGGATAAGTGTGCGTTTGCAGTATAGAGTTTCATACAAAGAATACTGAACGCTTCGAGTTGGTACGGTCACGATCCCTTTCCCTTTCCGGGTAGATAAATGTGCTACGTCCATAAAAGTCTGCAAGTCGAAATTTATCATATTATAGAAATAGCTTGATGTCATGCGAAAAGAGTATATTTTATGGGGAAACTCTGGAACTTCTGTTGCTTTGCCATTGGAATTGTAGTTTTGCTCAGATCAAATCAAAATTTTATTTGCTGAAAACATGGATATACATGGATAGGTAATTTACAATGTGGCGAGAAATTATTATTAATTAAAATACCTGCCTTGTTATGCATAAAAAAAAAGTTTTGCGTCATACACAAAGCATGCACATTGCTCATGTTGGTCTCTAATCTATTCTAAGTATGACTGTGGTATGACTAGATGTTATGTCAAAATAATAGGTATAATTTTTGTTCAAATTCTCGAACTCTGCTGCAATGCTATTGCGGTTTTGTAAGTACATGTAGGTACCTACGTAACACGACGGAATGTATGTGTGTTATATAGGCATTGTAATATGTAATATAATGCATAATTAAGTACAATTATTATTCCAACTCTGACCTATCATAATACCATTTAGCCAAGGCGCATACCACCGATTTTTAGTCGGCCGATAGTTGGGCCCGGGGCCTATTCTAATTTGTATACTAGTATTATATTATCTGTGCCCATACTGATTAACTGTCCGACTAAACTATTGGCCGATAAAAAATCCGTGGTCTGCGAGTAGGCTTAGTTGAAAACCGTTTTTATAGTTATTGATGGAACAATCGCTGGCCGTAACAGTGTATTGAAAATTTATTACCTACACCGATCTTGCCGCGACAAGGAAAAACTTCTGTGCTTTAAGCGATTTTGTGAAAAAATATTATTGGTAGGTAGTTGCTATTTGCTCATAAGATAGGCCCCCTTAATTGATATTTATTGTCCGTGGTGCATAATCTTATCATAAAGGTTTTAAACCTTTGTTTGTCACCTGTCATCCGCTTTGCAATGGAGGGAAGTCGAACTTTAATTTCGAACTCCTCCTATGTTCTTCTGATTAATGTCGTTGCGGGTCCAATGACAGTTTAACTTTCTCCCGGGACAAACTTGACCTTCACTGGTTGGGTTTTTATGGCGGTCAAGCTGTAGATCCTGGCTACACAGGAGTTGCAGTGGTGGGAACGAGAGGTGGGAATAGTCCCGTTATTGAACGTTTCAGCCAGTGTCTAAGTAGCTCAGATGGAAGAGCAGTCGCCCGGCAAGCGAAAGGTCGTGGATTCAATTCCCACCTCAGGCAGTTCGATGTTTTCAAGTTATTTTAAATATTTAAAAACCGTTTTCATGTTTGTGCAGGTCTTGAAGGAATATTAGAGAAGGATTTCGTCTTGATGCAAGGACTGAAGCAAGATCTGAACCGCAAACTTGCTGAAATGGACGCTAACAAGACCAATGTAAGTAAAAATGTTTATTGTATTATGGTTCAGTAGAAATACTGGGTGTCCATTACAGGAAGGTAGCAGGAAGGCGCTGGATGCAGGCCGCTACCAACCGGGCGATGTGGAAATTATTGGGGGAGGCCTATGTTCAGCAGTGGACGTCCTGTGGCTGAAATTATGATGATGATGACAGGGTGTCTTATAATGGGTGAACTAAACAGCCATGGGAGGTAGCTTGACCTTTGACCTATCCCTAGAAAAAATATAACGCACATGGTCACTAAGGTCTATAACCCGGTTGAGCTGCGTACAGCGTACAGCCGTGACGTCACATCGACGCTTTGGTACGGACGGGGAAAACGCCGGAAGGTGTGTGAACTATTCCCACCTCTCGTTCCCACCACTGCAACTCCTGTGTAGCCAGGATCTACAGCTTGACCGCCACAAAAACCCAACCAATGAAGGTCAAGTTTGTCCCGGGGGAAGTTAAACAGTCATTGGACCCGCAACGAAATTTAATCACATAAATAAAAATAAATTAAGGTGTGCGGGTAGGTGGGAGGGAGAATCGCATTCCAGGGAGATGCGCAGTTAGCTTAATTGGGTTGTAAGTCATCATTTTAATTTGTTTACAGTTAGACCATTTTGTCATTTCAGATGTCGTATGCCGTGAATGCTGGAGCCCCATACTTAGCCCTGAAGACCCATGAACCTACCCCCATGGAGCCAGTAGATGAGATGGTGGACGAATACAAACGGGTTATGAGGTAAAAACTATAATAAACTCACACTAGTTTTCACAAACGATGCTTGCTTAATAAGTGAAGCAGCAAATCGAACGCACAGCGTTGAATAGAGCTCTGTGATTAGTTCGTGTGGTACCCTGTGCGTCCACGTGTACTATAAGACCTCATAGTATTGTTTGTGAATAGGGGCGGGCGTCAGCGTCAAGTAGTTACTAACAGCCCAAAGAATCCAAAAAGTTCGCAACACGTCTTTGTTAGAATTGGACTATGGTTGTGTTGTAATGGTAGATGAAATTGGTTTAAACTGACAGCCGATGGGGCAGCAAGGTTCTGGAGTGGAGGCCACTTCATTAAGTGGATCACGTCAAACATTCCATTGAAAACGCTACTGGCACGTCAAGTTAAACCGATGAGCTCTAAAGGTAGCAGGAAGGCACTGGATGCAGGCCGCTACCAACTGGGCCATGTGGAAATCACTGGGGGAGGCCTATGTTCAACAGTGGATGTCCTGTGGCTGAAATGATAAGTGAACTAGTCACACACAACTAACTTAAAATGACCTTCGAGAGACACATTAAGCTTAAAATAACAACAAATAGGTAGACATGTGAAAATAGGAAATATTCCATATCCACGACATGTAACCTGTATGTAAAGCATACGTAAATGACCTATTGACCTACACGACATACCTAGATGAAGAAAAACAAGCATTGGCAAAGCAATATGCCACGACATAGATTTTCAGTGTGCACTTCCCATGTTTTTTACGATGAACATGACTTTAAAGATGATAGTCATTTATTCAATACTAGCTTTTGCCCGCGGCTTCACCCGCTTGAAATTTAGTTTGTCACAGATCGTCATAAATTATTGCCTACGTGTCTGAGTTATAAAGAATAATACTGTAAAGTCTCATCAAGATCCGTTCAGTAGTTGTTGCGTGAAAGAGTAACAAACATCCATCCAGACATCCAAACATTCGCATTTATAATATTACTCGTAGTAGGATTGTGTTTACTTGTAATAATAAATTGCTTTTATAAAATAAGGGGCAATTTTATCAATAAATTACATCACACGAATTTCATGATTTTTGACTCCCTCCCTGTCCTCGTCACAATTTAAAATTATTACATCTAGAAATAATTATTGAATTAAAATAGTAATTCCGAAATGTGTTTGAAAATATTTTATAGCTTATGTTCAGCAGAAAAAAAATGTGGATTCTTTAATGGTGAAAGGATTTTTCAAATCCAGTAGTTTCGAAGCGTTTCAAACAAACAATCAAATCTTTCCTCTTTATAATAATAACTAGCGGCCGCCCGCAACTTCGTAAGTACACGTGGATCCCGTTTTACCTCCTTAGGGGTGGAGTTTCGTAAAATCCTTTCTTAGCGGATGTCTACGTCATAACATCTACCTGCATGCCAAATTTCAGCCCGATCCGTCCAGTGGTTTGGGCTGTGCGATGATAGATCACTATGTCAGTCACCTTTGAGTTTTATATCTATATTATAGATTATAGAAGATGTAGATGATAGTTTTGTCGGCTTCCAGATTGTTTCCTGCAATGAGTGTCACAGGAACTCCACGAGGGAGTGAGACGTCTACTCTCCAAAGAAGTTCTAGATTATGAGCAGGTAGGTATATAGTAGGCAGGTAGGTATAATCGTAACTTAAGAGAGAAAGAAACTTATTGCACGAACCCACAAAGACAAAAAGGTACAAAGAAAAAGACAAAAGTAACATACACAGCAAGAAACGGGACTATTCTCACCTCTCGTTCCCAATGCTGCAAGTCCTGTGTGTCCAGGATCTACAGCTTGACCGCCTATAAAAACTCAACCAGTGGAGGTCAAGTTTGACAGAGGGAAAGTTAATCAGAAGAACATAGGAGGAGTTCGGAGTTAAGGTTCCACTTCCCTTCAGTGTAAAGCGTATGACAGGTGATATTAGAAAGGAAGAGAAAGTGTCATCTTGTAGCAACAGCGATGCCCATTGCAATGGGACCCCATACTCAGATGCCATGACCCTGGGACCGAAGTGAGAGTCACGGTCTATAAAAATAACTTTAAGGCACATAGATCTAATGGCTGTCGCGACAGAAATGTTCTTGAATTTCAAAATCTTCATTATGTGGAAGTTCTTGAATGGTGGAAGATGAATGGTGGGCTGGCCTCCCACTCAGTGCACCGACGATCTGGCGAAAGTCGGAAACACCTGGATGCAGCGCAGGATCTTTGTGGAAATCATAACAACAATGTTTTAACAGCATTGCTGTGTTCCGGCAGTTAGAGGTAAGATAGCCAGTTCCTCCGTGGTTGAAGATTCCAAGTGAAGCTCGCTTCCACCTTCGGCCTGATCATCACTTACCCTCAGGTGAGATACAGGCCAAGAGCTTCTTCGTTGTGCATTAAAAAAATCCTCGGGAGAGGCCTTTCTCCAGCAGTGGACGTCCTTTGGTTGAAATGATGAGGACATACCTACAACCCTATCAAGCTAACTGTGGACATTGCTGGAATGCAACCCTCCCACTTATTCGCACACCTCTCGCGATCGCCCCGTCCGTACCAGAGCGTCGATTTGACGTCACGGCTGATAGAGCAAATCATTTACAATGACAATGCATTACATATTGACACAATACGTATCTCAACGTGACGTCATAATCAGTTTAAAGGTCTCGGGCAAGTAAACACGCGTTACTAAGTCGATATTGGTGTTCGTTCGTTTCAAGTTTCAACCCAATGACGTCCACAGCTGGACAAAGGCCTCCCCCAAGGATTTTCATAATGGCTGGTCCTGCGCTGCCCGCATCCAGGCACCTCCTGCGACCTTCACCAGATCGTCGGTCCACCTTGTGGGGTCTGCTCGCACTACGTCTTCCGGGTCGTGGTCACCACTTGAGAATTTTTCTGCCCCAGCGGCCATCAGCTCTACGAGCTATGCGCCCCGCCCATTGCCACTTAATTTTAGCAATTCTGCGGGCTATCCTGCAGGTATTAGTATAAAATATTTGTATATCAACTACTTACATGCTAAGTTTGATGTGCTGTCGTTTGTTTGTTTATCAACTTATCAACGAATTTTTTCATTTATAGGTAGGTAAATAAATAAATTTCATATTGTATGTGATAGGTGCCTGAAAAGGTGAGCGAGCTTATAATTCGAACAAATAAATTAAATTAATAAAAAAATGTTTCCTCGCCTACTTACTTAGAGCGTGAAAATTTAACTATAATTTAAACTAATAATTTTAAAACTACCTATTTATCTATGTAATGTAGGGTACCTAACTGATGACGGCTGATGGGGCAGTTCTGCGTACTATGTGCCCTGCCCACTGCCACTTCAGCTTGCTGATCCGTCGGGCTATGTCAGCGACTTTAGTTCGTTTACGGATCTCCTCATTTCTGATTCGATCTCGTAAAGAAACACCGAGCAATAGCCCTCTCCATAGCACGCTGTGCAACTTTGAGCTTCTGTATTAGGTCTATAGTCATTAGAAATAATCATTAGAAATGATTTCTAATGATTATTATCTTTCAAACCAGTCCCAACGCAACACGATGTTTGCCGAAAAAACCCGAATCGTCTTGTTACTTTTGTTTTCCTCCAAATGAATTTTATCAATATAATACAGTTCAACTTCGCGAAATCCACGACGCGACGTTTCGACGAAAGCCCGCTCGAAAAAGGGTCAACTCAAATTTTACGAAAACTATTTTTTTATTATATAAAAATGTTGGTGACAATAAAATTAAATAAATTAAATTCGGAGGTGGTCAAAAAAATATTAGATCTCCGACCACTCTATAGTGTGGTGAAAAAAAATTATTCTAAAAAAAGTGACGATTTGTTCAAATGCTATAGTGACGAACCTAATGTCGTGAGTAAATATGCGCCCTTAACTGAGGGTGAATATGGGAGGTTTATAAGTAAAAGGGCAGGGATGAGAGAGCCGGCACTGACGAGGCAAATGAGTAAGTTAATTTCCAAATTGTGGTTTTAGGTTTTTCTGTTATGAATAAAATAAATAATCATGCGGATTTCTTTAAAAAAATGTGAACAGGTGTAGAAAAATATTGGGTTATTACGGAATAGTCATCATTCAAAAAAGTTTTATAGAGAACTAACTAGACAAAATTTTAAAGAAAGATTTTTTATTTTACTTTACATTTGAATTAAGTACTACACTAATATCGTAAAACTAAAGTGGTTCTGTGTGGCAACTAAGTGCTTGATTATAACAACATAACTAGTTTAGAACTTTAGAAGAATTTTCTGTGCTAAACCGATATCAGAATGAAAGAAGCCGCATGTAAAATTTAGTATACAATACGCTGAAAAACAAACTCACTATAGGTCATTATCCTCTGTAAGGTGGCAGCAACAGACTTGAATAACAAAATGATAAATTATAAATCGGAACTTGTTAAACGAGACAAATTGAAATTATTGAGAGTGGTGCGTCTGCATTTTAGGATGCAATAATAACGTAAACACTATCTAGCATCGATCTAATTATGTATATTAGTTGTAGTCAGTGGTATTCCCCGCGTAACTGTTTATTTTTATTTTGCAAAAGCAATCAAGTTTTGGGAGAATCTTCTGCAATCAAGAAACGCAAAGTTTTCTGGTTCAATACCCATTGCGGAAAACATTTTCTTCTTGGTTTAGTATAAGGTACGGCTTGTTTTGTACTTAGCATAACAATTACAATCACTTTTTTCCTTACAGATAAATATAATAATCGCGTTTTTATCTAAATCATGTTGTAATTTCTGATTTGGCAGGGAGGCCTAAAAGTATTAGCTGTTGCTGATTACCNGCAAATGTTGTGATAGGGATAGAGACATGCAATTTTTGGTTTTACAAAGGTAATGCGATAGAGAATAATACAAAACAATAAAAACCACCTGTTATAGGGGCATTTTTTGGAGAAATTTATCAAATAACCAAAAAAACACGAATTTTTAAGCAAATTTTTTTCAAAAAGTATCATTTTTTATTATTTTTTGGCATTTTTTGTGTATTTTTGGTATTTTTTTACTATTGCCTGTTATTTAGCATTATTACTGTTTTTACTTTATCAGGATATACCGCTTAGTTTAAAAGTTATTACGTTTTCTTTACAATAAGTAATTGGAAGAAAAAAAATTCTATAAAAAATTAAAAAAAAATCTCAAAAATTTTTTGACCTCTTTTTTGTCGATAAAAATAGGTCTAGTTTCATCTATTTTCATATGTACACTTTAACGTGACTCACACTGTATATCAACTTTGATATAATCAATTTTGTATGAAAGCCATACTATTATTTTATTGTTTTATTTATGAATACTATTGCATATGTGTTACATAAACATGTTTTTAATGTTTTTAAAACTTAAAATCAGACAAATAAACCAAAAACATAAAATCTTCTTCAAATACGGCAAAATCAACTAAAAAAAATAAAAATTTTATGTCAAAAAGTCAAAAACAGTTAGAAATTTTAAAAATTGATATATATCGTCAAAATCGGCTATATCCGATATATATCTTGATATATATCCCTTGATATATATCCTCGAACCCTGGTCATAACATCTACCTGCATGCCAAATTTCAGCCCGATCCGTCTAGTGGTTTGGGCTGTGCGATGATAGATCACTATGTCAGTCACCTTTGAGTTTTATATCTACAGGGNGGTTCCCCTATATTTTCGTGTAAAAAAAAATCAAAGTTCTATGTCATAAAAAACATATGATTTTCAGCTACGCCGCTCAAAAAATGTGTTTGGGAAATTGACCCATATGCTTTCGAGTAAGCGGATTTTTAAACTTTCGAATTCATTTGTAAAATGTTGAAGTATACAATGAAATGGAGTTCATATCAATCTGCAAGATGAACATTATAAACTGTTAAAGATTGCAATATGCAGCTGGATGTAGGCCGCTTCCAACCAGACAATTTGGGGGTCTATGTATTAGACGTCCTATGAAATTATGATGATGATTTATACATATGTATAAGTTACGAAGCTATTCGATATCATCATCACTCGAGTGCAGGATATTCTCCTTTAATACATAAATTATCTTCTTCGTATCAACAGTGTTTCACTTCTATGGGGTTCTCTTCTACAATATTTTAGTTGTATGCCTGAAGATCATGACTTATTTGACTTAAGATCCTATGTCCCCTAGATGGGGCAGAGGGCGTCCACAACAGTCCTCCATCGCGTTCGGTCTTGAGCTTCGCGTTTGATCTCGCTCCAGGTCTTGCCGACTTACTTCGCCTCATCTGCTACAGTGCGCCACCTGAAGATCATAATAAGAACTGTTTTAACATCATTTCAGCTCCAGGATTGTCTCGCCGTTCGCCGCGGTCTCCTCGGTCTCCGCCTGTTCCATCTCCTAGAATGTTAGCACCGTCATCAGCAGAGTATCCTACTCAAGATTTGGAGACATTACTCAAGAATGCGGGTTGGTAGTTATTTTAAAGACCTACTTATCAACTCGGAAAGGGATCGGCTTTCGCGAGTTGTCAATTTACGAGGCGAAGCGTTTCCGTTCCGTTAGGCCCAGAACAGACGGTGAAACGCAAGTGCAACGAAACTGCAACTGCTAGTTACTTTTGAGTTGCATCTAA